GCCAGGTGAGGAAGGGGCCGAGGCCCCGGCTACCAGACCGGCTGCAGCACCCTCTCCGTCACCTTGGAATGGCTTTGGAGAGCCGATCTGTCATTGCTGGGTAGCTGCCATCTGAGGACACAGCTGCACTATTGCAGCTTCTTCTGTTTTCCACCATCAGGGTACAGGGTAGTTCCCAATGCGAACCTAGGCGGATGCTGTTAATAGCGTCGTGTGTGTTCTAGCACTTTATTTTCCCATTCGATGTTCACAACCACTGATCTAATAAGTATTTTTATCCCCGTTTTATATACATGGAAACTGAGTCTCCGTAAGTTGCCGAAATTGACACAGCTAATAAGGAGCAGAGCGGGAGCTGGCCCCTAAGGTCTGTTAGAGTCTGGAGCCCAAGCTCGTAACCCAGATCCTCCGTCAACCGCCACCCCGTCCCCACGGCACACACAGGCCAGCAGGATGGCGATACAGCGGCAGCTAGAATAGGTCTGTGATAGCTGACTAAGCCTATTTGTCGTTCAACGGCCAAAGCCTCTAAGGCAGGGATTTGCTGCCCAGAGGACCGTTGGCAGTGTCTGGAGACATTTTGGGCTGTCACGACTGGAGGGGGTGCTGCAGTCCCCCAGTAGGGGGCCAGGCATGCTGCTGAACATCCTGCAATGCACTGCACAGCCCCCTTACCCACCTGCAGCAAGGAGTTCACCCAGTCCCCGGGCTAGTAGTGTTGTCACTCAGAAACCCGCCCTCATCTGTAAGCCTCCCCTCCCACGTGACACCATTTTTTGAGAAAAGGTGAGCACACTTCATTGATGGACCTACTTTGTACCTGTTTTCAGGGATCCATTGCCAGTAGTGCGCACCTCACGAGCTTGTCATAGGGAGCTGGTAGGGTCTGAGGTAGTGTGGTTGAGGTTTGTCTCTCATGCTGAATTCTGGTCTGGAGGGTTTGTGGGATTTCTTTCCACGCCCTCATTCCTCCCAGAGATGCTCGGGGGTAGCTCCGCCTCAGCCTGGCAGTTCCACATTTGTCACCTCTCCCCAGTATTTCAGTGTGTGCCTACCACGACCAGCACTGTTGTGGGGGCCCCGGGTCATATCAGTGAACAGAACGAAGGTCCCTGCCTAGTTCTTCCACGTCCAGTCTCTGAGAACAGCTCGGAGGCCGAGGGGAGGCCCGGGACAAGACTGTGGCTCCTTGCCTCCTGGACCTTTTGTCCACCCAAAACTAAAGGATCAGAAAGCAAAGCCTGCTGCCTTGGAGATTCCTAATCAAATCCTATCATCAGTTTCAGATTACGATTATTTCTCTGTAAGTGGTGACCAGGAGGCAGACCAGCAGGAGTTTGACAAGTCCTCCACCATTCCGAGGAACAGTGACATCAGCCAGTCCTACCGACGGATGTTCCAAGCCAAGCGCCCGGCCTCAACTGCCGGCCTCCCCACCACCCTCGGACCTGCTATGGTCACCCCAGGGGTTGCGACCATCCGACGGACCCCTTCCACCAAGCCTTCTGTCCGCCGGGGGACCATTGGAGCGGGTCCCATCCCCATCAAGACGCCCGTGATCCCTGTGAAGACCCCGACCGTCCCAGACCTCCCTGGGGTGTTGCCGGCCCCCCCAGATGGGCCGGAGGAGCGGGGTGAGCACAGCCCCGAGTCACCGTCTGTGGGTGAGGGCCCCCAGGGTGTCACCAGCATCCCCTCCTCACTGTGGAGTGGCCAAGCCGCCGTCAACCCTCCCCTTCCAGGCCCGAAGCCAAGCATCCCGGAGGAGCACAGACAGGCGATTCCGGAGAGCGAGGCCGAAGACCAGGAGAGGGATCCCGCCAGCGCCACTGCCTCCCCAGGCCAGGCTCCAGAGAGCGACCCTGCGGACCTGAGCCCGAGAGAGACCCCGCAAGGAGAAGACATGCTGAACGCCATCCGCAGGGGCGTGAAGCTGAAGAAGACCACGACAAATGACCGCTCAGCCCCTCGCTTCTCTTAGGTGCATCGGAAATGCTGCCAGTGGGGAATGAACTGTTTCATTAATAAAACCTAATTTGTCTTGATCCATTCCAATCTATAATCAAACCGATTTTGTAGGCAACTCAGAATACAGCTCTTTTGAACGTACTTGACACCTTTAGATAAGAATTAAAAGCAACATGTAACTGACATGACCTTGATCTTTTAATTTGTAAATATTGACAGTTTTCTTTCTGCACATTTTAATCTTAGCTTCCCTTTTAATTTTTCTGAAGGTGCCAAATTCCATTTAACTTTTTTACAAGTCTTTGTAAAATTTTAAATGCATAAGGGTGGGGGGGTCAGGGCAGGGGAATCATGAAGTAGTTAACTTCAGAAAAAAGGGGTAACTTTTTCTTTTCTCTCTCTCTTTTTCCCCCTGCAAGCTTTTGTAGATGCACTGTAGTTAGTAGTCTGGCTTAGAAGCAAATTCAAGTTATTTTAATGTACAAACAAAATGGTGAGGGGTAAAGTCTTCGTTTAAATATACTCTGTTCCGAATGAGCAAAGCGGTAGTAAGAGTTGATGAGCAATATGCAGAGGGAAGTGAATCCGGGGACGGCGGACTGTTGGGATTGGGGGGAGGGCCGTGGGAGGGGCACACTTTCAACATAGCCGATCCTGTCACATTTAAGAGTAGCCTCGTAGGTTGAATTTCTAGTAGCTTCATGGTTAATGCATCCGAATAAGCCATACTGGATTGCAGTGTTTGTTTCTGTAGGGTGTTTAAGGAATTCCTTTCCCCCACGATTCCTCTCGACTGCACACAGCACCCGCCTCCAGTCCCGTGCATGCTGCCGCCACCAGGTAGACTAGAACCCCGCTTCAGTTACTCGTCCGTTACACCTGTTTCCATTGAATCCAGTACATCCGAAAGGGTAAGGCAGTTTCAAAAATGTGAAAATACTTAAAACACGATAGCAGGGAATTCTTAGATAATAGCGAATGCCTTTTACTTAACTGTGCCCAGCAGGCTGGGCACGTTGGAAAGCCCAAATATTTTGACAAAACTTGAGTGGATTTAACAAGAGTAACCAGCTCAGAGTCCAGCAACTTGCCGATGTGTTTACCAATCCGGGGGCTTGTTTTTCTTGATTGGCTTCATACTAAACAATGGAGAGAGGAGGATTTCTTTATTGTTACTCGGAATCTGACCACTAGACTGTCCCTTTTTTTGTTTTGTTTTTTTGGGTATTCTAGGTAATGTATTTTGGAATGGATTTATGTCTTTTCTTCTTTAAGTGAAAGTTAAATTTGTTATAATGCCTATCCCCTAAAGCCAGCAAGGATTTGTAGATTTAGAGGGGTTGTGTTTGGAGAATACAAACATGAAAAAGAAAGCAAACGCCTTAGCAGTTGGGTCAGATGTAAGAGCTCCCTTTTGACGGAAGCCGTCAAGAGGTAGGAGCCCGGTGGGTCCCACAGACCCTGCAGATTTCTGTTGGCTTGTATCTTCAATGACATAATCTTATGCTTTAATACATAACTGCATTGGATGTGAGAGTAACATACCTGTATAGTCACTGTTCTATATATTAACATGTAACACTGCTGTGATTGCTCAAGGACATTTTATGTTATGGCTTTAAAGCAAAGGCATGATTATTAGAAACTATTTAAGCTTTTTTTTTTCCTTTGAAAAACAAGCTCCTTTTACAGACTGTAAGCAACAGTAGTGCCTGTGGTTTAGCCCACCAATCTTGACGACTAAAAGTAGCTGATGCATTGTGCATATGATGCTTGAGATGGTTTTTGCAAAAGCAGAAATCACTACAAGGTAATCACAATAGATAAAAGTGGTATTTTAAACCTTTGAGATAAATGGATGTGACTGTACCTTGGTACAGCTTCTCACTTGTTTAGTTTTTAAACGTTAGTAATAATCTGAAGAAATTTAATATAAAACGTTGCCAAATTCAATGTAGAAAGAATGTGACGAAACACCTTGGGTAGTCCTGTTTGTGTTTTTGCATATTGTAAAAGCAGTGTCACAGCTAAAAATAAAGAAATCGTTTCTAAGGTAAATTATTGGTGTTTAGTTGCTAGTTTGTACTGAGAGTTGACCTCTCCCTGTGCAGTTTTTTTGTTCTAAACTTGTATAAATAACAATTGTGTAATGTGTTTCCCTTCTACCTTGTAACAATTGCTTCAGTCTACATTATAAATAAAGAACCACTAGAAAAAAAAGAGAGTTCTGTATTTCAAGTCTTATTAAAATCCAGTTGGTCTTCATCAAATGCTAGAAAATGGACTGAGACTGACTAAGCTTACTTAGAAAACTGGCAACACGTTCTTTTCTTGATGATTTGAGCCTGACGGACGCCAGCTCCTGAACCGATCACTGAATTCACTGAATGCAGCTCTGAAGAGCTGTCAAGAGCCAAAGGCAGCTGGGTCTGCTCGGCCGTGTTTAGAGTGGCCTTACCTCTGAAAGGAACTTCTTCACATGTGTAGAATCCTGCTGTGCCCTCACCTGTGAGTCTGCTGGCAACCCAAGCTATGGCACAGGAAGCAGAGGTGGAAAACTGCCTCTAAAGTAACTGCCACAAAAGTTTCACCCCAGACCGGACCCTTTAACCCCACTCATCGAACTTCCACTTCAGAGAGGACCCCATAAACTCCAGGCCTATTTGTTGAATGTGTGTCTCTTAGAAAAGTTGTCGTTTAATTGAAACTAAAATTCCATCACAGAATCTTTAGAAAACCAAGACAGTATCATATCGTAAGTCCTTAGTATTAGCATACCTTCCCTTCTCAGCTTCCTGTTCCCCTGGACACAGGGGCTAAATTAGGCCCTCAGCTAGTCTGTTCAGCTCAGTCTGCACAGCAAACCGTGTAGGCTTCGCTCTGCAGCTTCCCCTTGCTGACAGCACGTGCTAGCTACAGACTTAATGGGGAAGAAGAGAACGCATCCGACCGGCCACACCTCCCACACTTCCCTTTACACGCACACCTGTGAGACAGTGGCATGTTACTCCTCAGACAGAAGAACACATCAGTCACACCCTGTTACTTTTATTAGGGCAAGTGCGTATTTCCTGTAAATCGTTTCACTTGCAACCACGACCAGTGAGGTGTCTTCCCCTCTCGTTCCCTATGTGGGCCGCTCCCGGGGCCTGGTCACAATGTGCCACCACAGAGGGGGCAGATCACCTTCCTTGCGGGCTGGGGGCAACGCTTCGGTGCTGGGACCACCAGCCAAAGTTTCCTGCTGCAGCTGCTTGACCTGGAAGGGGCAAGGCAGGAATGATTAGAAGAGGAGCTGGACTGTGGAGTCCACTGCAGTGAAGCTCTGTTCCTGCCGTCTGCCACGTTACACACTGTCTGAGCCTCACTACCGAAAGCAGTGTTTTTTATTATACATACCTGCTTTATTTTCATACCCACGCCTTAGCTCGGAAAACGCACTCTCAAAGCCTTGCCCATTCTTAAAACAGCAAAGCTAAGAAAACAGCCCCCATCCGACCTTATTCATTAACCAAAACCACAATTACTGTTCCATTTCGCCTTGTCGTGCACCCCCACCTGTATCCCTCCCCCAATAACAATGAATGTTTGTGTCTCAGCTAAGTGTTCTCCAAAAGCACCATTACGAAATCTCAATTTTATACATATTAAGGATGTTAATTTTAAAGCCTCACCCCCAGAGCAACCAGGACAAGTAACACAAAATCACATGCAAAAATGTGCTTGGTTCTGCCTGATGTTGCCCAGCTACCCCCAGTTCCTGGAACCTCCAGGACTATCGTGGTCCTAATAGCGGAGGAAACCTAGAGCCCCACTTGCCGAACAACCACTTCTGGGTCGTGGGCAACCTGAGCCTCCGGCACGTGTGCTGTTTAGTAACGTGGAACGGACAACAGCAGAGGAGGAAAGTTTCTGTGGCGAGGAGGGAGTGCAATAGTGACAGCTGCAGCGTGAACCTGCTGCTCGCCGTGAATCGGCACACCTGCAGTTTCCACGCGCTCACACCAAGGCCTCCGTGCATGCCTGGGGTCCCAAGCCTCCTCTGAAAGACGTCCTCCTCCGCCTATCCCATGCCTCGTCAACATTGTCAGCTGCTCCCTCGCCCCCAAATCTAATCAGCATATATGCACCCTTGTTTCTTGTCTTAGGAAATAAACAATCCCTTGGCCTCCAGTGACTGTTGTCAGCAAAACATCCCAAGAATCAGCTCTCCCTCCTGTCTTCTCTTCCTTACTTCCTGCTCAATCACTGCTGTCAGGTGATTAAATCCTCCAGAGAAGGGTCCAGCCAAGCCCACTAATGCCCCTCCTGAATCCAAACTCCTTGGACATTATTTCCAGTCCTCACTCTGTTCCCCCTTTTAGTAACTTTCTGCAAAGATGACCTGGCCCTGGCCATCCTGAAACACTTCCTCCTGGACCCTGCGCCACACCCCCGACTGCCCCTCCCCCTTGCCAGAGGCTCCTCAGTCTCCGCCTCCTGACCTCCACAGGTGGGAGTGCCTGCAACTGCTCTCTCTCTAGTCTCCCGCAAGGTTCTCATCCATTTCCGTGGCTTTGAAAACAACAGTCAGCTCACAAATTTCTATTTCAAGCTCAAAGCTCTCCTTTCAGGCCCAGGTTCCTGTATCCAATGTCACCTACTGACATCTGCGCTTAATGTCTCACAGACTTCTCAAATTTAACATTCCTCAATTTAACACACTTAAAACTGAGCACCTGACTGTCCCGACACCTGCTTCCCCCACCTTCTCTGTCTCAATCAACACCATCACCAAACTCGGTGTTAAAGCTGAAAACCTGGAAATCATTCTTGAGTTCTCACGGTCTCTCACCACCCCAGCCCCTCCATCCAATCAACCTCCATGCCCCTCCACACCATCCCCTGAACCCACCTCACCCCACACCCACTGCACCCACCCTGGTGCTGGCTGTCAGAATCCTGACCGAACTGCAGTAACCCCAGATCGGTCCCTCCACTCCTCACCGTACCCTCTCCAATGTGTCCTTCACACTACAACAGGACTGAGCTGTCAGAAACGTGAAGCAGACATCATATGATGACCGCAGAGTGTGCAAGGCACTGGTGGAGAGGGAGGGTGAGTGATAACAGGGCTCGGCGTGAAGGTCAGGTAGAGGACTGAGGAGGAGGAGGAGGATGCCAAATTTGAGGCCAGAAAACCCAAGAGACCAGGCAAGGCAGCGTAACCTGTTTGGGAGATGGTTGTGAATGTTACATGAGCTCACCTAGAAATGAAGTACGTGTGAGAGGCAAGGGGCCAGGGTAACTGCCATACGTGGATTCTGGACCTCCTCAGCGGGGAACAAAACCTGAGCCCCTTCCGGGTGTTGACCACGTGGGCCGAACGATACGGTAAAACGCAGGGCAGACTCACCTCTCGCTCCCAGCTTTCCCTCCGCAGTTTCTTCCACTGCTCTCTCTTGGCAAAGTAATCGGGATACATTGCCTTCTCTGAAGGATGCCAGTCATCTAAGCACCACTCAGGAACCTGTCCGGAGAGAAAATCATGACGTCATTACACAAGGTACAGTTACATACCACTGATGGGTCCTACACAAGATAAACGTCAAGGTGCATGGTGATAACCTCTGCAAGTCCCAGACTGCTGCTGACACCAGGCAATGAACGGCAGAGGACAAGCAGGCACCAACATAAAGAGAATGCCTCACCCGCGGCCTGCAGGCCGCACGCGGCTCGGGATGGCTGTGAACACAGCCCAATGCAAAATCATAAATTAACTTAAAACATTATGAGATTTTTTTTGTGTGATTATGTGTCACAATGTGCTTAATGTGTGGCCCCAGAGACACCGAAAGGTTGGACACCCCTGCTTAGAGTGACACAGCCTGGGGTTGACAACCAGCAAGGTCAGGCCAGAAAGAGCTGGCATCATTCTGGTTGTCCCCTAAACATCGAATGGGTGTATGTTCTTTGGAAGTATCACCTAGAACTTCTCAGAAATCCAATCCAAGTTGGTTTACCTTCAGGTCCAAAAATGAGTTATATCAAGTAATTTAGCACCCTGCTTTGCCAAGAAAGGTACTACAAGCTGAATTTGGGGCATCTGGGAGAGAGAAAACTGACACCTGAAGACAAGTGTCTACAACCGTCAGGGAAGCAATCTCGCTGCCCCTAAAGGGTAAGTGGACCTGGGGCAACAGAGCCCACCTCTCAGAGCGCAGCTGCCAGTGCAGACCTCACCTACCTTGTAACACTCGTATCTCTCGTAGGAGGTGCCCCCAGGAGAGTCCGGGAAGGTGTATGGCTGAGGATGCTGGTTGTGCCAGAATTCCTTCTCCGCCTCTCTCAGCAGCTGGGTGGCCTTCACCATATCCGTTTCATTCTTATGTTCTTCAAACCGAGCCCTCAACAGACATGCAAAGTACCGGTATTTGTCCCTTAAACCGAAATGATTTTGGATATTAGAAATGTTATCTCCTCATCCAGACCTTTTCCATCATGTTTGAGGTTTTTCCCAAAAACTTCTGATAAGGGAGTACAGGCCTGGCATTCCCACAGCTGGGTTGTCATCTCACCTTGTACTACACCTAGGTCATGGAAAAAATCTATGCTTTATGACTATGTTCTCAGACTGGCCTCAACGGGATAGAGGAAAGAAGAAGTTGTGCAGGAGGGGAAGAAGTAGTGGGATGTGAAGGTAGTGAAATGGGCTGGGTGAAGCTGAAATGAAGAAAGCTGATGGGAAGCTGGGAGACTGCTGATTCGTTGGACTTAAGACACCTGTTTTCATCCTGGTTTGGCCACTGACCAGCTACAATGCCCTGAGCAAGTTACTCTCTATGCCTCTAGGTCCTCATCTGTAAAGTAAGGCTCAGCAGTCCCTAACTCCCAGAGTTGTTGTGAAGACCTGAGAAAATAACGCACATACTACTACTGTTAATATCAGGAACGAGGTCACGAAGACAGCTATTATTCAGTGAGCGCTGGAAGGCGTGACAATTGCAGTTTTAGGCACTTGCCTTTATTTCATTGAACCGTCATGCAGCCCTCCGTGCTGGGCACTGCATCCTTAGAAAACTGACGCCTAGGCCAGAGAAGCAATTCTTCAAGTTCTCGCAGCCCAGGTCGTCGAGGTCTGGACTTGAACCTGGGTCTATGGGCGGACCCTGTGGGGCGGAGGGCCGCCTTCCCAGCCCGTTCCCTGTGTCCTTGAGACGCCCAGCCCCTCGGGGACTCGGCCTCCGTGGGGGTCCCCAGAGTCAGCTCCCCCCGCCCTGGGTCCCCGTCCCCCACCTGTAGATGCACCAGGACTCCAGGTGGCGCAGCGCTCGTTTATAAAGTCGCAGCACCTTCTGCTGGTGGGTCAGGTAGGCCACCGGCGCCGAGAACGCCATGGCGGCCCGCTCACCTTCAGCGGCCGCTGGGGCTCCCGGGAAACGGAAAGCCGGCGGCCAGGGGGTGGGACGGCCGCATCCACTTCCGCTTCCGCTTCCGCTTGATGGAGACCGGCACCGCAGTCATGAGTCGCTTCAAGTTCGTGGGTAAGTTGTTTTTCCGATCCTTGGGCTTTTTTTGTCTCCTCCCGGGCGTCGCTCGCCGGGGCCAGGAGGCCCAGGAAGAGGGTTTTGAAGGCTGCAAGGGCTCTCAGGGGAAGAGGCCGCCGGCGGCTTCTGGGCGCCGGTCGGGTTCTGGTTCTCGGTCGAGGCGCTCGCTTCAAGGCGTGCTTGTTTGTGCAAGTTCCCAAGGGACACGGTTGTGATTTGTGCTCCCTATAACGTGTGTGTAGTGTTCAGTGAAAAGGAAAAAGGTAGCTAAACTGCTAAAAAACAAACAAGAGGCCAGTCACTGTATTCTCCTCTATCCCCACGTGCACCTGCCACCACTTACCTCTCCGTGGCCCCGAGAACCGGAGGGGTAAGAATAGTTACTCCCCGGCACTTAGGGAGCCTGGGGGACGTTGTGAGAGCTAGGTCGGGAGTCCAGTGTTTTGGTGAGCTTAGTTTGCTGTGGAGAGAGTGGAGCTTCTTGGCTAGTTCTTGTGGATTTGTCTGTTTGCTACGCGGTGGTGTCTAGCTTGTTCTCTAAACTCCTGTATTTCCTGTAAACTTGGAGTTATGTCTAAAGGCAAAACAAGTCCAAAACAATTTTAAAATGCTCCGTTTCCTGTCCCTTTGTGTTCCTACATCATAGGTGACAGCGACGTGACGTGCCTCACCGAGCCTAAACAGTGAGGTATTGTTAGGGAGGATAGACAGTAAACCAAGGCAAGGAGGAGGAGGAGGAGACGTGTCTCACCCACTAACTCAGCAGTCCTCAGCCTGACCCCTAATATTGCCAGGTGTTCCAGCATCACAGGAAACACCAGGCTAGCTTGGGAGAAGGGGAGTGCTTGAGATTCTATGTATTGTTTCCACTCTAGGAAAGAAAGCCTTTGAAACTATTCATCCCAAGGCCTGGAAGGCGGGAAAGGGTCCATAGTGCCCAAAGAAAAAGCCCATGAAATGACTTTGGTTAATTGCCTTACCTCTGGTCACTGTCTGCTTTAAGAGGGAGTCCCTAGTGCTTACAGGAATAGCCTATCATAAACTTTGGGTAACTGCCCCAGCTTTAGTTAACTGCCTCCTGTCGTGTATCTGTTTTACAAGATGACCAAATGTGGTCTATAGCAAGTTAAGGATTCGGGCCAACAAACCACCGCACACACCTGCGTTTGGGTAGTCGTGTCTCCCCTGGGGAAGCTGGCACCACCTTTACCCGTCAATCAATATGTAACCTCTTCACCTGTGTGGCGCCAACCATATAAGTCCTGAGAACAAAGGACCTGATGCTCGTGCTGTCCTCACCTTGCTTTACCCTGAACCTGTGCCGTTCACTTCCACCTTAGCAAGGCCTGTTCTCTTCCATGAGAATGCATCATTGATAAACCCCAGCTTACATGCGAATAGACTTGCTGATCTGTAATTCTTTACTGCGTTGGCAAGAAACAAATTTCTCCCGGAACAGTATCTGTTTAGAGATGTGGTTGGTTTTCTTTTAGTTACAAACATCTTTCACTCTCATATTGTTTTGGAAAAAAAAAAACTCATTAATACTGGAAGTGTCTTTTAATAGTAAAGCTGGTACTGCTTTTAAAGCCAGCCAGTAAGAAAAAATCGTACATTTGAATGGACGAATTCCTATACGAAAAGATCTGAATAAGTAAGGTGACGTGCCACTAAATATATGAACCCCTCAATTGCCCCCCTTTTCCCCAAATCAGAAGTAGTAATTTTCCACTTTGCCCTTCCTTTTTAAAAAAATCAGGTCATTCTCACTCCTTTCTCTCATTTCATTAGTTTTCCAAGTTATTATATTTGGCTGGAGCTGGATAGAAATAGATTTTCATACAGTATTTCTTTACTGGTTTTTGAGTTGTGGAAGAAAAGGGGCCACCTGTTAACCAGGGGATGGTCGGAAATTAAAACTTTTTAACTAACATTGGTTGCTGGTGGGTAGTCATGTCCTAAGGCAATATTTTTCCCTAACAAAGGTCAGTCCTCACCTTACCGAAGCCTGTCTGTTGTCTTTTGCATATGGAATAACATACCTGGTAAACATGCCTTTGCAATAACAAGTAGTTTTCCTTTTTCCGGACCCCTGTGCCTGCTCTTTCTTGAGTACATTCAGCTCAAAGTAACCGACACGCCAAAGCTGCAAATTGGGATGGCATGTCTCAACTCAATCAGCAAACGTAAGGTGCTGGAGCCTGTTCATCAAAGCATAGAAAGCAGCTCTAATAGCTAGCTGAGGAATACACTTCAGACAAACTGTATGTCAAAAAGAAAAAGGTTTAGGGCTGTAGTCACGATAGTTTCTCACAGAAAAGGGAAGAAACTGGTGGCTGTGCAAGATACCCTAAAGCCGAAGGCTCGCGTGGGTCCAAAGCTGAATACAGACCTTGGAAGTACACTGTGGCCTAGGGCCTGAGAGGCTGACCTGAGTGGGGAAGAGGCAGGATGTAAGAAGTGGGGTCCCCTGGAATTGGCCTCAGGGTGAGTGAGCTTTGAGGAAGGATTTAGCACCCGTTCCTGTTCGGGTTGAGACAGAGACTTGGAGGCTTCATAACTGAGCCTCTAAACTAATCTTCAGTTCACTTTTAAAATTAATGTCAGAAAGTTTACTTGTTAAATTGGTTTGCTTTGGGGTTTCATTTGTTTTTCACTTCATTTTCCAGGAAAAGATTGCTTTGCAAAAATTCTTCCCTTGCTGCACAAAGGGGAAATGGGCATGAAATGCAGACCCATTCTGTTCTCCTAATAATCATCAATGGTGGGTGACTAAACTGACCCCTGTGCAAGATTATTCTAGAGCAGGGGTGTCAAACTCACCTTCACCGGGGGCCACATCAGCCTCGTGGTTGCCTGCAAAGGGCCAGAACAATTTTAGGACTGTGTAAATGTAACTATTCCTTAATTGTTAAGGAGCTGACATTACATTTGGCCCTTTGAAGGCAACCACAAGGCTGATGTGGCCCCCGGTGAAAATGAGTTTGACACCCTGCTCTAGACAGAAAGTCCTCTCCTCTCTTCCCTGGGTTTCCTTTCCCAGTCTTCCTCTTCCCTATTTTATTCCCTTTCCCTATGGAAAGAAAGTAGATACCGATTTCTTGTAATCTGGGCCATTTCCATTACACTGAATTTGTACTCGTGGTATTTGATAGTTTGTGTGTGTTAACAGCTTTTTTTTAAATCACTGAAGATATGCCTATTGATTTTAGAGAAAGGTAAAGGGAGGGAGAGAAACATAGATAGGTTGCCTTTCCCATACATCCCCGGGACCAAGCGTGCAACCTATGTATGTGCCCTGACCGGGAATTGAAGTCATGACTTACCGGTTTACAGGGTGATGCTCCAACCAACTGAGCCAAACCACCAGGGCTGTTAACAGCCCTTTACAGGGTGCCTGTTGTGAACTCAGTTCCCACCCTCCATCACAGATTGCTGTTGCAAGTCTTAGAAGTTTTCTGCGTTGTGCCTTTTTCCTGTTTCAAATGCCTGAAATACTCTCCACCATCTCTTGAATTATCCAAACTCCTGTTCATCTTGCAAGGCCTGTCTTAATGTTGAAGCAGCAGAGCTCACTGAGGGCCAGCTTGGCAGATGCAGAGTGAGAATATACTGAGAAGAAGCTGAAGCTCGGCAAAAACAGTGGAGGGTCTGCTCCCTACCCCCCACCACAAACTTGGAGATTTTCCTAGAGCTAAAAGCTGAAGGGTGTGTATTTCAAATAAAGATGGCCTTTTTATTGCCCGTGGCCATCACACTCTGACTTCGTGTCTTCTCTTCTACTTTACAGCAGGATTTTTCGAGGCCGGCACTTGATAGTGTGGGTTGGATAAACCTTTGTTGTGAGAGGCTATCCTGTCTCTGTCCGCACTGTAGGATATTTAGCAGCATCCATGGCCCCAAGCCTAGATGATGGTAGCACTCCCTGTGTTGTGACAACTAGAAATGAATATACGTTGTGTGTGCATTGCTGAATGTTCGGGGCGGGGAAGTGAAAAGAAGAGAGGGGCTGCGAAGTCACCCTTCATGGGGAACCACTGCTCTCCAGGCTCCGAGTTTCTTCCAGTCTTGTACCCACACGCATCTGCATGCAGAACGCTCTTCCCATTAGTTTTAGCTCCAAGATTACCTCTTCTGTGTGATAAGCTTTTCTCATCACACTGCCAAAACTGTTATTTCCCCCTGTTTGTGCTCCCATGCCATGTGTTGTGTTCTTTAAAATGAAAAGCCAAGGTGAGAGGCAACGAGAGTGCATTTGAGACCAAAAAGAATTGAACTTCTGGGCAGCACTGATAACAGGCAGAAAACCTGAAAGTGTTCCAGTTATGGGGTGAAGGTAAGGAGTACTTGAGAGAAAGGGATGGGGATAGAATGGAAGAAAGGAATTTCCGTTGGTGTTAATGAGCCAGGGAAGGAATTCCTGTTGGGCCAATAAGCGAAGTTATTCTTTAGCTACACGTGGTGGTGCTAATTCTAAAGATGTCAAGATTTCTGCTCTCCCGTTAGCTCTGTAAACGGTTGTTTGGCCCAGCCCAAAGGTTATTTTGTCCAGTTTAAACATTCCGAAGGTTGGAAGAGTAAGATGTGCAAGGCAGCTCCTCCAGGTGGCAGCACTGACTCTGGTTTAAAGGGGATCTGTTTATGTTACTTTCACAAAATCATTATGCTAGGTTCTAGGGATACAGCAATGAAGATTAACATTTTGTGCCTCGTGTTGCTTACAGTCTGCTTATTATATCACAGATTATATTGTGGTTCCCATGTAGACTAGAAATTTCTGGAGGGCACGGGCCAAGTGTTGGGTCTTACTTATTTCTGTGTTCCCTCACCCCTTACCACAGGATTTGGCACAGAGTTGTTCCCTACAAATATTTGATGACTAAAGGAAATTAGTAATTTATTCTTCTTTCTGCATCTGCACTTGCATTACCCTAATCCAGGCTCTCTTCACTGCAGATAAGAGCTCTTGCCTATTTCTAAAGGAGGTGTACTAACTCCAGTTGCTCCCTTCAGATCCTACCCTCCACTCCATTCTGGACTCCAGAAGGAGATGTCCAGGATGCAAATCTTACTCCTCTCCTTTAAAGCCATCAGTGCTTCATGTTGCACCTGGTATTTTAAAGACAGGTGACTGTAACACAGTAGAGTCTGGCCTCTCCTGGTCACTCCTTCCCTACACTTTTCTCCAGCAGCCAGAATGGCCCATAGTTCTCCATAGTCACTGTGCTGTTTCACACCACCGAGGCTTTGCTCCTGCTGCTGCTTCTGTCTGCAGTTTCCCCTCTTCTGCTGGGTGACTCTGACTCAGCTTTTAAGATTCAGCTCTTTCTGGAAGTCTCTTCTGGGCCAGCGACCAGATGAGGTCAGGTGTTCCTCTTCTGTGTCCCACAGTTCCAGTGCCTGCTTTTAATATTTCTTAATTGTCTGTTAATGGGTCTGCCTTCCCAAACCCCAGGTCCCTGACAGCAGGAATTCTCTCTGACTCATCTCTGTATCACGGGTGTCAGGCACAGTGATGGACCAGCTGTAGACACGCAGATTTTGTTTGAGTGAATGAATGTGAGGATGGAAGGTTTCGTAATGAGCTTTTATTTAAGGAAAAATTTTCATATAGAGGCTCTTCGTGATTCATCATTTATTTTTGCTTTCCACAGATATTGGTATCAACTTGACAGATCCTATGTTCAGAGGAATTTATAGGGGGGTTCAAAAGCACCAAGGTAAATGTTGTATTAAGGTAAATATTTTGTCTGTGAAGATGAATTGTCTGCCTTGAGGAGATCTAGAGAAGCATGATCTACTCCTACAATTGAAGTATTAAAGAACTTTTGCATCTTGGATAAAATTGTAAACAAAGTGCAACACCTATGAAGCTACATTGATTAACCTTGATAATGAACACTTATAAAGCACTTATAACAAAGTGTTAATCAAGCCCTTCTCTATAGAAGTTTATAATTTGGAATATAGAACTTTAACCATATGCACAAAAGCCAAACCTTATTTGGTGTTTAATCTTTGCAGCAATTGAACAGTAAGGCACATAATTTAAAGATCATGTACAGTGGAACATCAGTGTAAGGCCTGGTTTTCCTGAAATACGTCTGCTGGGTGTCTAGGTGGAGATGTGACTGAGGGGCGGTGCGCTGCATTCCCCCTTTCCCTGGCTTGCCTCTCCCCCTTTCCAGCCCAGTCCTGCTGTACAGGTGGGAAGAGTAGTCGTACCTCCACGGTTGATGGAAAACTTAGCCAAAAGCAAAATGGTTTCTGTTTATCACATCAAGTTCGTTTTAAAGGCTTATTATGTCAGCGAGGTGACTAAGCAGGAAATGATTATGGCAAGTTTTTGAAAGCAGAATTTCTCCAGCAAACTAGCCTGTGCATATTGCCTCAGAAAATTACTGTATTTGTTACAATGTAAGTGAAAACAGGAAAACTTGGTTTTGTGGTTTTGGATGATAGAGAGTTGCACATAACAACAGCTGAGTCAGAAGTTAACCTTACTGCACTTCTAGGTGATGCTAAGAGAGAGCTCTAAGTATAGGGGATGTTAGATGTCACTAGAAAGAAGAAAGATAAGTGTTAGCTTTCCTCTAACCCTCACCTCAAAACTTACCTTTTCTGCTTCATTTAGACATTTAAATGACATTGTTTATATAGTACAGTTAGAATGCTGAACAAATTATATTCTGCTTTTGTTGCCTTTTAGCACTTAGATTTCATGCTTTGTACTCTATATATGAATGTTTGTATATGTGTGTTTATGAAATAATTTTCATAGTGATCAATATCAGTATTACTCTAATTTATAGTAACTAGCAAGACTGGCTGTCCTACTTAGTATACGTTCAAAGTTGATATTCTTTGTCTCAAATAAATTTTATAGCTACTCTGGAATAGTAACTGAATTCCAATCACATTCACTGTGATGCTTAAATATGAAAATAAGAGATCAGTTTTTATGATGTAACTGTTTAATTGTGCTGTTCATTTATCTCAGGCCTCTCAAAGCTTAGTAATCACTATTGATCTCTCCAAAAAGTTTGTTACTTGGCAATAAATTGTAGGGAAAAAGCAAAAAAAAACCAAAAAAAAACCCACTATCAGAGAAAATAAAAAATTAATCTTCCTCAATGGGAATGGTAATTAAGAAATACAGCATTAACTAAAATTTAAAAATAGGTGTTATGTTTTGGGAGACATTGTGGGTATACTCTGAAAAGCCATAGTAAAAATAATTTTAATGAGTATTTTATTTTTATTTAAAAAAATTTACCAACGTTTGAAATTCAAGGCAAATGACATAAATCGTAAGGAGTGCATTTATCTTTAGTTTGAAACTTCTGAGTTTTGTCGCTTTCCCCCTTTTGACCAACAAAATAAAAATATAGTTAAATGGATAATTTTATCTAGTTTGCCTTATACAGGTGTTTTTTCTTTTTTTTTTAAGGTTATCACTAGTATTATAGGATAAATATTCATCAGATAGTATTGACTTGATTTTGATTTAGTAAATGTGACTATATAGATAAGTGGATATTTACTTACTGGACTTTCTTACTCTGGGGTTCAACTTTTACAGATGACTTACAAGATGTAATACAGAGAGCTGTCCAAATTGGTGTTAAAAAGGTAACATCTAGTTCTTGATACTCTTGAGATTTGTCTAAAAACTAAGTTTTCATTAAAATACTGCAGCATACAAGGGAAAGAACCAGTGTCACACTTGGCTCTTTTTTTTTTTTTTTTTTTTAAATCCTCACCTAAGGACATGTTTCCATTGATTTTTAGAGAGAGAGAAACATCGATGCCAAAGAGACGCATTGACTGGTTGCCTCCTGAATGTACCCCAACTGGGGATTGAACTTGCAGCCTAAGTACATGTCCTGACCAGGAATTGAACTGGTGACCTTTATATATTAGCAAGTTAATGGTATAAAATATATCAAAATATTCTGTTCACAGCAGTTTAAGTGACACAGACCTCATGGGTAGTTAGTTTTTCCATACAATCAGAAATATGATAAATAGCAAAATGTCTTTGAAAATTTTTTTTAACTATCTCAATAACCAGCCTTCTTAAAGAGGCAACTTTAAGTACATTTTATGACATACTGTAACATTTATTAAAAAGGCATATCTGTCACCAAGTCTAGTTTCTTTAGTTTGGGTATACCATTTCAAATAACTGAGGACATTTTTACTTGTTAGTAATTTGGTATCAGGAAAATTCCTACTGCTTTTTTAGAGAGTTCTCACAAATGAATATTCACTCAGTGTCAAATTCTTTAAAAAGGTATTTTTAAAAGTTAGCATTTTAAAAAATAGCAAGCTAGCCAACCCATGTACACAAGAATGAGGTTAAGTTCCATAGTGCGGTATTAGCACACCTGGTGGCTACTGCTTCTAAGTTGAATAGCTTCCGTTTTAAAAAGCGATGCTGCTGCCCTGGCTGGTGTGGCTGGTGGTTGAGTGCTGCCCTGCGAATCAAAGGTTTGCCAGTGCGATTTCCAGTTGGGGCCCATGCCTGACTTGCAGGCCAGGTCCCCAGTAGGGGCATGTGAGAGGCAACTTCACAACTAATAAGATAAAAGTTACAATACTAATTTCTCAGTGCATGGTCCTTTCACTTTATGAAATGCTTTGTACGTTTCTGCTTCTGAATTTTTATGTGGCAGCCATGAATTGTTTAATCTTAACATTTCTGATCACACACACATGGGCTTAGGAACACCAGGACATCACAAACGTGGCTTCCACCCTCAGCTTTATCCTTCATAGCTTTGTAACCTGGGCTGCTTCGTCCCTCTGGACTTCAGTTTTCTCTTCATACACAGAGTGAAAATAGTAACCTAAGTGCACGGTATTTGGTATTGTGTCAGGCACAAAGTAAACAACCTTTCTTATGTTTATGATGGAAGTTGCCATCTTATCATCATCATCACATTATAACCTGGGAGAGCCTATTATGTCCTCTAATCGTGCCCTAACTTTTTTCATCTGTTAGGAGAAGTTATAGATAAAAGGCAGGCTTTATTAGAAACTATTTTATATAATTAAAATACTGAATGTGGGCACCTGGTCTTGCATTAAATAATCAGGTAGAGTTAGAAAAGTTTTGCACAATTTTTGTTAATATCTTACATCCTGTGTTTTACAAGTGGTTGAGGATTTAATTATGGCTCTGCATCCCCTGACTAGATACTCAGTGTCTGCCACATTAGAAGTTTACGTTGCTTTATGAAAATGTCTATTATTTGTACTTCCTCCGATGTTTTATATGTTTACTCTTTAGGTGTGTACCTAGAATGAATTGTCCATTTAAGCTCAGTGCGAGTCTTGAAGTATGCTTTTAAAACTAACACACCTTTGGCCCTGGCAGTGGATTAAGCACGAGACTGTGAACCAAAGGGTCATGGGATCAATTCCCAGTCAGGGCACGTGCCTTGGTCGTGGGCCAGGTCCTCTGTAGGAGTCATGCAAAAGGCAGCCACACATTGATGTTTCTCTCTCTCTCTCTCTTTCTGTTTCCCCTCCTTCTAAAAATAACTAGTTAAAATCTTAAAAAAATAAAAGTAATATACTTTTGTACTTAAATGCCTTCTTTAGAAGAATGTCACTTAAGCAGCACTTCCTCAGGGGTCACCACCAACACACAGCTCTTCAGTTGCATTTTCCTTTTAACAAGTTAACAAAGATGGCGCTCTAAATGCCTCTGATGGCTGTTTCTGTAGACGTGTGCTTCTTTGCCAAGAGCCATAAATTTCCCTACAAAGAATTCATCAGCACATATTAACCCAGTGTCTCTTAAACTTTTGGTCTCACAACCCCTTCATGTTTTCTATTATGATTGAGGATTCCAAAGAGCTTTTGTTTATGTGGGTTTATGTGTTGCTATGTACTGTATAAGAAATTAAGACAAAATTTTTTAATATGTATCAATTTGTTTAAAAATAATACTATTATGTAACAAAGCATATTTTTATGAAAAATATATTTTCAAAACCAAAAAAATTTAGCGACACGAGTGGAATTGTTTTGCGGTTTTTTACGTCTCTTTAATGCCTGGCTTAATAGGAGACCACTGAATTGCACATCTGTTTCTGCAGTGTGACATCATATTACATACTGTGTAGCCTCTGGAATACCTCCTTGCTCACTTGAGACAGAATGAGAGGGGAAAAGGCAAAGAGCATCTTAGTATTATTACAAAAGTGGTTCAATCTCATATACACCATGGGGGTTCTGGGATGATACTTGGGAGAACTACTGAATTAATCAACACTGTGGAATCACTGAGTTAGATGGACAGAATTCTAAACTCAGAGGTCTTTAGTTAGTTATTCAGTCTTTTGCAACGTTTCACAACTTGATCTCTGCCCTCAATGGGCTCATGCTCTGATAGGAAAGAAAGATACGTGAATACATTTCAATAGGTAGGAGTTACGCATTCTGTGTGTTGTGTGTCTGCGCACGTATTGGAGAGGTAGACAGGGACCACTCTCCATAGGAGGTGATCTTTCAGCAGAATTTGGAAGGATGTGTAGGGGTGGGACAGTCTAAGAGACAAGAGCGTTCTGGAAAAAAGCTGCAGCAGGAAGGCATGTTTGTGGACTGTTGCTGGTACCTGGTTAAAGTGGGCTTAATTTATTTCTGTTTCAGTTTATGATTACAGGTGGAAATCTACAAGACAGTAAAGATGCACTGCATTTGGCACAAACAAATGGTATCCTCATATTACTTTTACCAAAAACAAATAATTAAGTTATTTTGAAGAAGTCTTTCTGAGAACTGCTTCAGGTACAATGCAATGAGTCATGATGGTAGAGACAGCAGGAAAATAGACTGATTCCAATGGGACATGAGTAGGATGAAAACAATTCAGAGTGCCCACGGCATAGCAGAGCTTGAAAAAACCTGTTCATCGTACTTAAGACTTCAGTTAGTGAGAATTCAGGTCACCAGGTATATAATTTAACCTCAGATATTTCTGATGTAGAATTTTTGTGTGTATGTTGTAATGTGTTTAAGATACGAGTTGCTTTCTATTTGCTCTTTTTTTAACTTAAGCTGAGAGAAGTTATTTATTACGCAGACCAAACACTGTCCCAGCAATGCAAGTAATGATATAACACATAATCTCTCATATGCTTACTTTATGTTCATACATTATGCATTTATTTAAAACATTTGAACTTTTGGAACTAATTCCAAAGGAATCCTAACTATATAAAATGCCTCCTTTATCTGGCATTCATTTTCTTATTAACTTTTTTTGGGGGGTGGAGGCATGCTTCATTTGCTGGACACTGAAAAATTAGACATTCTATTTTTCCCCCCCAAAATACTGGCCTTGTTTATGGAAGTCTTCTCTTCGGGATCCACTGATACTTTTTTCTGGTGATTCAAGTCATAAGAGGAATCACCTTCCCAGAGCTTTCAGAGGTATAAGAGTGTTTGTCTTCCATACTTGCTACCCCCCAGACAGGTAGTGTCCGGGGGCTCTCATATCTCCCCGATGGCAGCCCTCTTCCACTCCTCTCCGCGCACCTGTGTCTTCACTGCCTTCAGTGCTCCGCCTCCCTTTACACGTCAACCTCTGCGTCGGAGCCCGAGGTGGCGCCACACCTTCCCTGGGTTCGGACGCAAGTGGGGCCTTAAACCACTCACCACCGCCCTTTTTGACTTCACATTTGTGTTCCATACAGTTAAAACTATCAAACAGTATGGCCTCCAACTAAGGGAGCTTTACTTTCCATCAGAAAAATGAGTTCCCCCTTCTATCTCTTTAAGTCATCCTTTTTAAGGGGAAGGAATATATATTTTAACTGTTAAATACATGAAATAACACAGCCACCTGCAGAGTGACTATGAAAGATAAAATTAGCTATTGACATTTAATTGTACAAGAAATTGTTTCATTTTCCTTTCTAGAAGACTCAGTAAATACCAAGCTTTGGCAAGAATTGCATAAATTCTTTTTACCAATATGTTAAGGCAGATTTTTCATCTTCATGTCCTACTTTGTTAAAGTATTCCAAAAATTCTTACATGATTAACCTAATGCAGTCTGGCAGTTTGAATAGTTTATGGCTATTGTTGAAAATTAACCATTTGAAATTAATATTCTCTTATGCATATTAAATATACATATGAACAATATTTTGAAAATAATCCTCAGACATTATTTTGTGCTAGATATGTTTTTCAGTACAGTTGGATGTCATCCTACAAGATGTGATGACTTTGAAAAGAATAACCCTGATCTTTACTTCATGGAATTGCTAAATCTTGCTGAAAACAACAAAGGGAAGGTTGTAGCAATAGGGGAGTGTGGTCTTGGTAAGTGCCAATCTAGCTCAGTTAGAGTGACTTTGAAAATAATTGATTTGCTCTGTGTAAGTCCTGAGTAATTATTGGTTCCTTTTTCTTCTTTTGTCTTTTGAAGATTTTGACCGACTACAGTTTTGTCCCAAAGATACCCAGCTCAAGTAAGGAAATTTGTTGACTTTAGAAATTATTATAAAGTCTTAAAAGAGTGTTTTTTTAATTACTTTTATCAAATATGAAGTTAGATTAAGCATCGAGATATTATGTTTTTCCCATTGTGTATCAAAAGTTAAGTGAAACAAATTCCATGCATGTAATTCCTAAAAGATGGAAGGATAGTTCCCTGATTAAATAACCATCTAATTAGATTTTAATGGTAGAAATAAGGGGTGCACTGTCTATAGTAGAGACTTTTTGTTGCTTTTTATTGCCTTAATAAATGCATTCCTACATGAACCATTCCAGTGAAGTGAATCAGATTCATTTGGGAGGGATATAATGTAAGAGGAAAGGGTATCAGAGAGAGACAGGATCAACCACCAAAGCTAGAAAAACTTCCTTTACTCATGCTGGGCATTGGATATGTCTCTCTGGGCAGGAGAACCCTTTCACAAGAGCCATGTTGAGGGTGGCAGCTCTTGGAAAACAACAAAACTTACAAGCCTGAGGGACTTCCTATATCCTATTGCCTGTCGCTTTTATTTGGAGCTCCTGTCATGGGTAGCGGTATAAGCTGAGAAGAAAAATTTGGCCATAGGCTTAATTGAAGACCTGTGCATTTTGTTGAATTTTGGAAACAATGTCTTCATTATCAAGACGATAAAACATTAGAATGGGCTTCTAAAGGAGGTTAATTTATTATTCAACCATTCAGCAAATATTTATAGAGTAACATGCCAGAAACTACTAGGAACTCAGTAGACAAAAATATCAATAAGGTATATCTGTCCCTAGAGCAACTTAAGGATAAACAGCCCTCTATCTGCTTAGTTGCTTAGATATGAACGAGGAGTCTGGATCAAAATCTTTCTTAAGATACCATCTAGCTCTATCATAATATATTTTGAAAGATTTTTATTTATTTTAAGAGAAAGGAGAAGGGAGGGAGGGAGAAAAACATTGAGGTGTGAGAGAAACGTGAGTTGGTTGCTTCTTGCATGCACCCCAGCCGGGACCTGGCCCGCCACCCAGCCCTGTGTCCTAACCAGAGCTGACTACGCCCAACCGGGCTGCACGGGTCAAGGCATCCATCATATTACTTAATAATTAACCATTTTTCACATGGTCCTTAACCCAGCAGCTGTAAGGGATTTTTAAAATAACACATGCCAGAAGTGTACTTTTTCCTCCTTCCTTCCTTGCCCCACCGCAAACAGCCCCATATGCCAGCACAGTCGAAAACGCCTGCAGGAGAAACAGACTGACTGGTGAGTCTGTCACAGCCTACACTTTAAGCGCCAAAATTGCTGGAGCATGAAGGTCCATGGCCAAGTGACACAGGGTGGGTTAGGAATGTTCTGAGAAGTCTTTCCTTCCATCCTCTCGTTTTTGTAGCGCTGTCCAAGCTGTTTAGTTAGTGACGTAATAGCTGCTGTGTTTTGCAAGGCTCACGTGACTGGTGACAGGATCACTAAATCCCTTTATCTCGATTGTCACAGACCAGCTCACTTAACCTTAAAAGTTCACACTCACCTTTAAATAGAAAAAGCAGTTGTCTGTAGCAGTTTCTCAGGTTAAGCCCACAGATCATAATTCCTCCACTTTCGGGTCTGTTCGCGGCCCAGATCAGCCAAGGGAGGAAAAGACTGGTGTGACAGTCACGGGCAGTGGCCGAGTTCCCCGAGAATTCTTGCCCATGTGGCTTTTCATCCATGAGTTAAAGCTGATTCCAAAATGCAACGCAAATAACTTTAAACTCAGTTTTTTTGTACTAAATGAAAACATTAATAGGGTCAGTTCTATTTTACTGCTCTGAGGGTACTTATTCATCTTAAAATCAGAACTTAAAAGAATATGTATAGCAAGCTATACTTATGCTTTAACAAACACACCAATTGTCCAGATGTTAATCTGTAATAGACAGGTCCAACTCCGTTCAGTAAGTGGTTGTCAGGTGCCTCTGTCACAGTACAAGGAAGACGAGACTTAGAACCACTGTGGATTGTGGATGACTGTGGAAGGAAAGCCGTACCGACTCGAAGACGTTCTTCAGCAGCTCTGGCAGGGATAAGCCAGACACCTGACTGGACCGTGTGCTAAGTGGAATCAGTCGAACTCTGTTTTCTTACTTGAGCAACTATTTCGTTGACACTGCTTATGTACGTCGGAGGAGGAGCCCACTTCAGTTACACAGCTTTTGTACTGAAAGAACTCAGTTTTTGTAGTGCCTGTTCCACGTTTAACTTAAAGTAACTTTATAGCACTAAATGGCCTAGCAGAAGGCTTCACTCCAGACTTGTAAGGACATTTTCAGTTTTTTTGAATAATGTCTTCGCTGCTTCTGGCCCTAAGAACACCACTGAACAACAACACAACCACGTGGGAACATATTTTTGGAAGCAAAACTTTAGTTTTATACAACATATGCTATGGAGAGCAAAGCAAATTTAAGGCTACTTGTTTTTCCTGTGTTTTGGGCAATAATAGAATGCACTGCGCTGAAGATTCTTGACCTTATGTGATTTTTCTAAGTATTTTTGTTAATACATTGGAATAAAATCTGATATGATCGTGGTCATTAAATGGATTTGTTTGGAAAGTTACACATGAATTTTTTTTATAAGAGGACGTGAATGATCAAATAGGCTGGAAAGTTGCGATCAGGAAGGCGTGTGGATGGCAGGGGAAGGACTGAGTGCAGGAGTCGGAGAAGGCTTTCCCGGAGGTGGCAGGGCCTGAGTGAGGCCTCTTTCGGGGTGGGTGGGTTTAAAGAGAAGCTGCAGTAGAAATTTCGGAAAGATGGGGAGTTCAGTTTGAGATTTTTTGTAAAAGTTATAAAACATCAAGTGACTTAGTAAAAAATGACACACAGTAATAAGCACATTTGGATTGTTGTTCAGGAAACAATTACGCATGATTCTGTCCTGGCTCCCTCCCTCCCCTGGGCCCACCCTGACAGCACGCAGCCCTCTTCTGGGTGCACAGGGCACTTCGTGTTTCCGCATTCCTGCAGGGTACCTAGGTGTTCGCTACCTTCCCCCTCCGTTACCTCTCCCCCTCCGACAGTGAGCTAGTGTGTCTGATTCTTGAAGGGCACGGACCGAGTCCGAGTGCTCAGGTGATGGTTCCCGTAAGGCCCTTTTAGCACGTGGTAGGTACTCAGACACCTGTTGATTTTTTAATAAGGAGGGAAGTAACTTTGATTACTGTACCGCAGCATGGGTTAAAAGTGTGTAATTCACCTTTTTCTGTTGGGTCTATTTTTGGAAGAATTTACATTTTAGTCTCTGCTTTTATGCCATTTGAAACAACCCGTGTAAGATTTGTCTTTTTTTTTTTTTTTTTTGGTAAAAATGTCATCTGGAAAAAGATACATGTAAAATGAAAAATAGAAAATAATTAATAGATTAGGAGGCAGGACAAAAAAACTTATGTGCAGTAGATGTAGTGTCTGAAAAATAATGATAGGTAAGTGCAGCAGCATGTTAAAATTAAAAGACCTTTGCAATCAACAGAGCTTCAGGTTTGAATCATAACTGCCGTCTTGTGGCTGTATATATCCCTTTATAAATCTCAGCTTCCTGAAATGGCAGTAATACCTCCTTCCTACCTTTTCATTTGGTAGTGGAGCATGTAGTGCTGTGACTGGCATAGAGTAAGTGCTCAATAAATTGTGGCTAGTATATAATTTTTAGAAATACTGACATCCTAAAGGAAAATACTGGTTACAGTTTCTGTTTGGGGTTTTGAAAAATGTTTTTTAAAAAGCAAAAAGCAAAGCATGCAAACCAGGAAAAGGCCTGAGTTAGTTACAGGAAGGTTATCCTTTAAGCATACCCAGTATTTTCAGTTTCTCTGCCCTGTGCTACACTCCTTACCTTGTTGCAAGGTCGTGCTGTGTTCACTTGAGTGGGAGGAATTTGCTTTTGGGGCATATTTCTTGGGGTTTTAAAATGTTAATACTGGGCAGGTTTTTGTTTTCTTTTTAAATTAAAAATTCAAAGTAATCTTTAGGGGACCTCAGATATGAGAGCCTGAGGCCCTCTTTGCCATCAGCCAGTGTATAGAGCACTGGTTAAGGTATACTAGTGTAATGCATTGGGTCTTTTGGATTTATCTCATTTCTATTTGTAAAAGTTGCTACTCTGAGCCTGGACATTTTAAGCCCTTGTCCTTCCTTAGTTATTGTTGAGTCTAAAATGTACGAAGCCGTAACATAATCAGAATCAAATTACAGCTTCACTAAAATAAGCAAATCTAATTTAGGAATGATTTTCATTTATGAACTAAAAAAAAAATCATGAGTAACTAAAAGCAGAGAAGTCCCATAATAGGTGCCAGTTCTGCCCTTTAACTTATATTGTTATTTCTAGTTAAACATAGTGGGGTTTTTTTTTCCTTTGAAGACACTAGTCATTTGATTTTAAGTACCACTTGTCCTCAATTTGTATCATTAGGAATAATTTTTTAACACATGTCTTCCATATGATACCTATCTAGCTTGAGCGCATGGACCTTTCTTTTCTAAAACTAGACAAGGGTCTGTAGACACGTTGCTTGGGCATCTGTTATTTTCATTAACTGTACTTCTGCCTGCTCTGTTATAGGAAGGCTAGTTTCCAAGCTACTGGTTAGAATCTGCAAATCTCCAGCTTGGTCATGTGGTTTAGTACATGGGCTTGTGCCTGAAAGAAGTGTCTAGTTTGGAGGGGGGACACAAAAAGCGGAGAGTACTCTCCCAGCTGAATGCACCCCTGGGCACTGGAGCCCACTTAATTGCCGATATTTGGATTAGAGGTTATGGAAGTAGTGACTATGGTAATGAATTAGATCTCTCCCCCTGGTTTTCGCTTGTATCTTCTACACTGAAATTTTAGTACTTGAAAAATAGTTTTGCTTATTCTAACCCAGCAGAATTTGAAAGGCTGTCTTAAAAACCTAAACATTAGGTAATAAAGACATAGACCACTGATTTTAGGAAGACTGTCTTTAAGAAGTATTATTTCTGTTTTTAATTTTGCAACTTAGCATATTCAAGGATTCTGAGGGGTACTCCTTGAAAATAGTTATTCTGCACTTTAGGAGACAAGGTATAGGAAAATATTGCCTAAGAGATTTAAGTTAAACACAAATTATTCCCCAGCATCAAGGGGCCTAGAGAGACACCTTAGTAAGACACCTACTGTCTGTAACTCCTGGCTTCACTTAAAGCTACCTGACCGTTAAGGAGAACAAGAACAAGAGGGAGCACTGTGATAAAATAAAAAACAAAACAACAAAAGCTGCCCCCACCACCACCCGATTGTGTCCTGTAGATGTTATCATTATACTCTAGGAAGAGGCTCTTTGAAACGCCACAACTTCGGTAGTTTCAGCTGGGACTTGGGATTGGAGCTCCGAGATCTGGTTCCGGGTTTGCCACAGTGTTGGTGTGTTGTGACCTTGGACAAGGTCCTACCCACCTCTGCCACCGGCTCCTGTGCTGTACTAGGGTTGTTCTGAGGATCAAATGAGATAATGGTTTCTGGTGCTTAAAAAGACCTTTTCATAAAAGTGTTCTGAAATATTCAGGGCTACTGTGTGATTTTCATTTTGCTGAAAAACGGAGTATTTCAGTTTTTACGCTCTGTAACAGGTCCTTGTGTTTAGTTTGTACAAAATCCTGCTTTTTGTTCAGTGGCAGTAATTTCTTAGACAACAGAACATAGAAAACAGTACAAAATTCTGCCTAGCTTCTCACGAATGAGTTGACCCCTGCAGGTGGTGCGCAGCCCGCTCTCAGAGCCAGGGGCCAACTGTGTATCTTCCACCACAGACACACTGTGCAGGGGAGGAATCCCGCAGGTCATGGGAGGGTGCCTGTGTCACTTGCTGAGGTTTGGTTGGAAAGCCAGTTAAAAGGAATTATTTGGGGGACTGTCCCCTATACCTCTAAACTTGAACTTTATAGCTCTTAACTTCTGTCAGTCAGTAGTAAAGTGCTACCCGAATTACCTATTCGTTATAATCATTCCTGAAAATAATTTTGTAATCTCAGAAAACGAAGTATCCCTTTCCAGAAGATATGTGTTGTAAAAGCCTTTGGCCAAGCCTGAAGTATTTTACATGTCTGAATTTGCTACTTCTGTCCTATAATTTCTAGGGAAATCCTCTTAACTAAAAAAGATCATTTGACAGTTATTTTTCTTGTGCTAAAACAAAATTTCTAACAAGAAAATCTTATGTATTATGCAGATATTTTGAAAAACAATTTGAATTGTCAGAACAGACAAAATTACCAATGTTTCTTCACTGTCGAAACTCACACGCTGAATTTTTAGGTGAGTTAAAGCTGAAATATTTAGAATTCGTTTTGCAGAAATCCAGCTATTTGCTAAAAGTTCTGTTTTTAATTCACAGATATAATGAAGAGAAATAGAGATCGGTGTGTAGGTGGAGTAGTAAGTATAAGAGGTGTTTAATAGATGCTGCACAAAATCTTCTTGGTTATTAAGGTTGGCCTCTAAAGTAATTCAGATGTCAGCAATAAAAGTATTAAGACCCTTCTCTCATTATATTGAAGGACATGTAAATTTAGTTACTTTGTTCAGAGCACAACAATGAGTATAGAATTCTGTTCACAAGAAACCCCTGAATGTACATTTTATTATATGACAGTGTGGTAATTTTTCTCTGCCTCTTCTATCAGCCATTCTTAAATTTGGGCAAAATAAAACTAGTTTTAATACTACTTGAAAATAATTTGACCCTCATTTCATGTTTGCCTTCCTAATTTCTCAACTGTATTCACTGACTACTGCCACTCTTAGAGACTCATTCTCTCTTTTGTAACTTGCTTCTGTTGCAAACACTTCTCCTGTATGGACACTTCAGTCATTAATCTTGGGGCATTTCCCTTAAATATTATGCCCACCACTGAACTCCAGTATCCATCCATATCAGTGATTTTTAATCATTTTGGGGTCATGGACTCCTTTGAGAATCTGCCTCAGAAAAATGCTGAAATATATAAATTTTCATACAAAATTCCAGGAGAGACTCACTGGTCTCCAGCAAAAAAACCTGTAATCCAAGTATATAAAATACATATCTGTACTTTGCCAATTAAGGAAAGAGGAAGTAGCCCTGTGCCCTAATTATATACCCACATTGCATTGCTTTGACAGTGTCATATTTATTCTCAAGTTTTTAGCCTCATTTCATACGTACTAGTGATGTGCATGCTTTTTGAATTTCTGGGGTGGTAAACATTCCTGTGCGCACTTCTAGCTGTAGTTTACTGACATGCTCACTGCCCTTTAGAAACAGCGCGGGGGGATTGGGAAAGGCTTGCATGAACGCTCTTGGTGTTGCTGGTGGCACCTGCAACCTTCAGGCTCTACCTCTCAGCCCATTTGCTTTATTTCTAAATAAGAATTTACTTGGATGATTCCCTAATAGTTATTGGATAATTCTCCAATAGTTAAAAAATTAGATAGTTAATATCTAATAGATAAAAATAGTTAAAAACAGCAACAACAAATCCAACTTCAATGTTTGACTTTTATTAAAGGGACTGCCAAATAAAGAATTAATAACTAATTTTCTGAAATGGTTTATGAGGAGTCACATTTAAAATTATTTCGCTGTTATTGGAGAATGTGTTTTCTAGTCAGCTGGAAATGCTGAGGATAAAAACAAACCTTTTGGCCAGTTGTGCAAGAGTTTTATTTGTTGAAAAACATGTTACCTTAGTGTATTCAGACTCCAGGCTCAGTATTAATGTGCTATATCACTGGTTAGCTAGTGTTGTTATTGTTGCCTACTGGTTTTGATCACGTAAGTACATCCAAACTATGAAAACTAAGCCTTAACCCCTACATCTTTGAAAGACAAAAACACCATCTCAATTTTTTTTTCTTTTGGCCTACTGAGCTGGTATTATTGACTAGATAACAATTTACATTGTTTTTAGCAAGGTTGTGAGAAACTGTCTTAAAATTTGCCTCTTAAAAGTCATTTCTAGTAAGCAGTATCCTATAGCAGAAAAACTGAACATTTAAAAATATTTTTAAAGTAGTTTTATAGCATTTCTAACTTTTTTTATGCTTCGGCCTAAGAATGCGGCTCCCTAGGGCAGGCCGCCTTCCTGGTGACGTGACTGTGATGTGTGCATGCAGTAATGCTGGTGGAGAAGTGTCCACACAGCCACAAAGACAGGGATTGTAGGCGGCCCACTCATCCTTGCCTCATGTCATTGGAGACGATGGCAGGTTGTGATTGTGAACACTGATTTGAAAAATTATAGGGGCACCACATATGAAATCTGTGGTCCCAAACCCCTAGTGCACCTATATTCTTGCTAAGAAAAGCTTATAAATTGTATTTAGAATTTTAAAGGAAGAGTCATAAATTATACCTGTATGTCTTTAGGTGCATTCATTTGATGGTACCAAGGAGGCAGCAGCTGCTTTGATGGACTTGGATCTCTATATAGGATTTAATGGTTGGTAGGTGCCTGTTTTCTGTTTTTTTTTAACTTTTATATTAAACAGATTACTTAACTTGTCTTATAGTGAATTGTTGATAATGATAATAAAATTTATTAAAGTTATTTTGCATTGACCTTGGCCTGAGAATTTCAGTAATTATGTAAGAAATGCAATAGTACTGTTACGTGTTTAAGCTCGAACATTTAAAACTACTACCGTGTGTCCCAGCAGTGGAACATAATTTTGTGTTGAGCTCAATAGCTAGCCTTCCCTAGCACTACAGTTTGTTTTCAGGGTGTTCTGTCCCAGACATACCTGTTCACAGCATCGTGTGTGTGTGTGTGTGTGTGTGTGTGTGTGCACACACGCATATGCCTGTATATACAAGCACGTGATGTGTAATCGTGGGGAAAAGGTCATACTATGACATCATCATCTTTATCTCTGTAGGCCAAGTAACTGAGGCTTAGAGGAGCTAAGAAACAGCTATAAAGTACAGTAACTCCCAAGTGTGAAGACCTATGTCGCCTGGCTCCTCACTCAGTGACCTTTCTGCTGTTACACCAAACAAAAACCTCACGTACCCAATGCAGGTTCATTTTCTTCCAAATTTGGTGAGCCTGCACCAGTGTCTTTTTTACAGGATGTCAGTGTGGCTCATTAAGTAAATTGCAAAATAGTATAAGATTGCTTTCCCTCATTAGTGTTTCATTTCCTTAAAATTATTTTTCTGATAGCAATTTTTACTAAAATTTTAGGAAACAGAATCATGAAATTACCTGTTACAGAGTTTAGACTTACTTAAATGTTCTGGGTATACTTCCCATATTTTAAGTTATTTGACTAATTTGTCAATATGCAAAGGCATATATGCATATTAATATGCATATGGAATATATGAATAAGTTCAGTAGTACTAAGAGGCTTTAAACAGTCTCTAGCATGTCTTCTGCTCCTAAGTCAGCTTTTCCAGAGGCAACCACATTGCTGTTTATCACCTTATTTCTAAATATGCATCGCAGTTACTCATTCTCTTTATGTTCTCATGAAGGTATATGAGCCTTTAAGTTCACATCCCATACTGTTCCCCCACCTGCATTGTCGTCCATAGTCCTCTCAATGTAGTCATTTCAGAATTTTGTGGTTATATGCATATTTGGTGTTTTATTATTGATGATTGAACCATGTGGTGTATGTACCACTTTTTGACTCTCCTGTAGTAAGTTTCCTCATACTTTTATTTTATTTGAGTGTCTTCAAGACTTTAAGCCTTCTCACACTTTCCAACAACTCTGTAAAATGCCTTTCTCTTTTTTGCCACGTGAGGAAACCTACCTAGATAATCCAGTAGTTCCATTCCTTCTAGACCCTTCCATCTTTCTGCTTGCTTGGACTGGTATCTTTTCTGTGATAGAACTATTTTTCTGTCCCGTGTATTCATTTTGTTTTGATGGAACACATGTTTGAAAAGGAACATATGCTCTTCTTCCCTCTTGAAAGTGTGCTTGGATAGTGGATTAAAAAACAACTTCCATCTGATATTTTTCTGCAGCATCTTCTCATCGCTTTAAATTATGGTTCTTGAAAGTTATTTTCTGTATACCAAAAAATGCTCTGAGTTCCTTTTTCTGCTCTCTCTCACAACGCAGGCTTTCTTTAAATGTTGGGCAGTTCCCTGTATATTGTAAAAGTTAAAAAGGAAAAAAAAACTGTTAGAGATAGCCCATCAACTGGCAGGCCAGTCACGTGGCCACCTTACGTTCTCACCAGGGATCCCTCAGTGTCAGCTTGTTGAGATCTTCCGCCAGGTGGGTTCAGCTCCTCCAGAGAGGATGCTCCGATGCCTGGGGAAGTGTGGGGTGGAGACTCACAAACGTGCCTGTGTGCTGAAGCAGGGTGGGGTTGCAGAGGCTCTCACTGTGCGCAGTCTCCATGTCCACTTCCATGTCTCAGCCTGCACTCTTCTGTGCTTGTTCCCCAGTCCAGTCTCTGATTGAGATTTTCCAGACTGTCTCCTTCTCTCCCTCTCCTACCTCCTCTCCCTCCCTTCTCCCTCACCCACGGGTGGGGACAAAAGTAATGGTCTCTTCACCAATTCACTAATCTAGGAGTCCCATCTTCTCTTTACCCCGACTCTTCAAACAATCCCCCTCTTCAGTCCCCTGCCTCATCCCAGCCTCTTCCTAGTTTTTCCAATTCTTAGAACTTTCTTGGGTGAATTGGTTTACTTGTTTCAGTATCTCTTTCTGCAGGCACATAGCACTTAAGTTGCTTAGCAGGTAAATACAGGTTATTTACCATTTCTCCATCCACTTTCTGATTTATGTATTTTAATTAGGGGGTTAGCAAGTATCTCCTAGTTTCATCAAAAATGGTGTTTCTTTTTTTTTCTTGTTATTTTGGATAGCTTTCTGGAGGAGGAGGGGTAGAAGGCTTTTTATTCTACCCTGCTGAACCATAAGTCTGCTTCAGCTGTTTCCAACCTGTCTTGAGTTTATAAAGGCTTAGCTTTTCTTCCCCGGCATTAACATAGTATTAATGGATTAGTCCTTTGTCTAATCAAAGTCAATATTTGTTCTTGTTTTGAAATTTAATTTATTATAGTCTTAATTTGAGTCTCTGCTATGTTAATTTATACTGTCTGTCACAAAGTCTGTGGTTTCTAATTAAATTATAACTTTTCCCTTCCTAAGAAAAAGGGCAAATTTAAAGGTGAGTATAGAAGCATAGTTGTTCTTTAAATGGGAAACCTTTTAAATGAGTACACTAGCTTCGATTAAAAATATTTCTTCTGATACTGTTTATTTTGGTATTTAGATCAGTTTTTACAAATTGCCAGGATTATAAAATCAAATTAACATGAGACTAATAACAGGAAAAAATCTTCAAACTTATGATGTAGGTATATATGGGAGCTCCAAAGAGCAGGATGAGACCAGAGGCAGTTGAGGCCTCTGTTGTCCTCTTCAGCTAAGGACAAGGAGGGGTTGTGGTTTGCGGTTTCAAAGCGGAGGAAGGCAATTCAAAGGGAAATGAAAAGCAAAGGTTTGGTTCACAAATGTTGGGCCATCTTAACAATGGGGACACTGTGAGGATACCGATCCAATGGGCCTTGTGCTCAGGTTCTTCTCTATCACAGTTCAGACGGTAGTTGTGATGATCCGTCCCTCACTGGAGCAGATCCTCCACCTCCATTCTCTTAGGCAGTTAGGGGGAAGGTCAGAAGTTTTTCCTGTTTTTCTTAAAAGTAACGACCTTAAAATAATATCCCAAAAGGCATATTTGGGGAGGGGGGGCAAACCTTGCTTCCCCTCAATATGGAGCATGTCCATATGTTTTAGAAAATATATTGACAAAAAAATACATTAAATGGACTGAAAATAAGAATTTTTTTTTCTAGAGAACACTAAGACTGGTACTTATGGCAGACTACACAAACATTTCACTCCTACTCTTCTAAAATCCAACTAAAATAAAATTACAGATACTCAGAAAGGAAAACCTAAAAAAAAAAAAGAGTCAGTTTTGCTAATAGAGAAATGTTCTATAGACTTCTGGAACAAGAAGTTGAAACTGGACAAGACAGTTGAAACTGGAAGAGAAAGCTAAGACTGTTCCACTCTGAGTTATGTAAATTACTCAGAGGAAGTGAATTCTTTTAAAAAAGTTAAGTTTTAGACTCAGAGAAAGTTATTGCATCCACTAAAGGCAAGATCTGGTTGGAATAGATCTTAATTGGATTCTGGAAGGATAACAACAGGGAGAAAGTTCTGAGATGTCTGTCCTAAAGTAAATGACAGCAGGCAGAGGGTAGAAGAGACAGGAAGAGGTTAACAACTGCAGGGTCAGCTAACAAGAATGCTCACATTCCTGTATGTTGTCTGGTGGAATCTTGGATTAACTGCCTGATGGCTATTTCCACGATTATCTAAAAAGAGAGACTAGCCAGGCACCATAGAACCCCAGGAGCCTCTGCTTGAACTTTCCAATCTGTTGCCCACAGCCTGTCCCTGGACCAGAGATTTTTTTTTCCTGGCAGACTCAGAGCCTATCCCAGAGCTGGCTCTGCTTCACCTCCTCCCACCCCTTATCTATACAAAGAACATTCTTCCAAAACAACTTACATGCCCCTCCCAACTTGACGTGTGAAAATGCTCAACTGCTCCTAGACAGCTAAGTTGCCTTTCCCCACTCTTGGACTTCATACCCCAGGACCTGGTCTTTTTCTTGCTAGCAAGGGCCTAACAGCCTTTTGTTTAAAAAGACTTTCAGCCTTGGTGAAACTTTTTGTTTAACAATAATGGTATACTGCCTCTGTAGCCAACTAAAGTTTATTTTGGGATTTTGAGATAGTTTTGTGATCTGTCTCAGACAAATTTATAGTATGGAAAGTTATTCTTCATTAAATGTACCTTTTAATTTTATACATTAATATCTTTTTTTAAGCTCACTGAAAACTGAGGCTAATTTGGAAGTTTTGAAGTCAATACCTAGTGAAAAATTAATGATTGAGACTGGTAAGTTAGTTTTTAGAACTTTCTCATATTAAAATATGCCAAAAAAGAGCTAAAGAAAATTGAACAAATGTTTTAAAGTGGCACACTCAGCCTCAACAGTTACCCTCTTTAGAAAACCTTTCGGTATTGTTATCAGCTGATGGGAAAATACTTATGCAAGTGTAATGTTTACAGTTTGACAAAGCCTAAGCACTTAAAAGATGTCAGTAACTAAGGTTGTATTTATGAATATTTTATCAAACAAGGAGTCTTACTAAGCATTTTACCTAAGGGTTTCAAAAACTGTTCGGGATTTTATTTTTTACACAATGTCATCTTTGCAATGGCCTAATTTTACAATACTCTTAAAGTGCAGAAATTTAAATCAAATTGGTTCAGTCTAAGAATTTTTGATAATAATATTGCCTTTTAAAATAAAACAAAGTTAGAAGCTAAAATTTTTATCTGTACCATGGAACTCAAGGGTCTCTTTATACACATGGACTTAAGGCTGAGCCATTCTGAAGAAATCAGGTTTATTTCCTTGGGGAGTAAGGAAAACTAAATGAGCTCATTAGAAGTACAGTGTTTATAGAATGTGTGAGCTATTATAATTCTTAATTAAGGAAATATGTTAGTGAATAATCGCAGTATTCAAAGCCACCGTTTCATATTGAGTGGAGGCTACATAGAAATTTGTTTTACCTAAGTGTTTCATGTCACAGTTGTATTTCTTTTAGCTGTAGGTCTTTTTTTTTTTTAAGCCTGTCATAGACCAGCAATAATGTTAGCCAGGGGTTGGGGGTATAAAAGTGAGTCTTATAAAAACATTTAAGAATTTGTATATAGTTCTCAAGATTTTATTAATTGTGCTTTTCTTAGAGTTTTTTTCTGTTGCTTTTTGCCATACTTGAAGCTGAATCGTGGCTTTTATTTTAGAGGTTATATATTGATTTGGTTATGTTCACTTAAAAAATAATTTAAAAAGTTAAATTTCTGAAGATACTTCTATTTGCTAACTCTATAGATGCACCTTGGTGTGGAGTGAAAAGTACACACGCTGGTTCAAAATATGTAAAAACTTCATTTCCTACCAAAAAGAAATGGGAAAATGGACACTGTTTGAAAGACAGAAATGAACCCTGCCATATAATGTAAGTATTTTGTTTTTGTGGTCTTCCAAAAACATTAATATCAACCACCAAATGGCACCTAACAGAATGAACTCAAGGGATAGACAAGTTGGGTGAAATCCAAATGAAGTTGAGATCAAACACCATTTTAATCATTGTAATGAAGTGATTTGGAGGGATTTGCACCTGACTTGTATTTCAGCCTCTCTGTTCATATCCTCTCTACCTCAAGTGGTTTTATTGCTGCAGTGAAAATTTCATGTGATTTTGGTCATTTGTCATTTCATAGGAGGGAAAAGATCTTAATGCTTTCCATATATGGAAACTGGTGTAAGTTCTGTTCTCATGCAGCTTCCCTGTTGATGGTTATAAAAATGCAGTCTTAGCAGACCTTTCCCCTGGTATCTGCACTTGAAATGATTTGACAACCTGAGTGAACCTAAAAAACAACACGAGAGGATTTCCTTTCCCAACTAAAAAAGGGGGTAGAATTTTATTTCCTAAAAAAACTAATTTAGAATCACTTTTTGAAATTATAGTGTATACAGCACATATGAAAAGAGCGCCCTGTTACTTATCTGTCAAGGAGTTGGAGACCATAGATCAACTCATAGGAAAAGTCTGTTATATCACTTTAATGGGGACACCATCTAATCTCTTTTGTTTGCACAAGCCCATAATTTAAATCTAGAATGCATCAGTCTAGTATGGTTTACCAATGTCGGCAATTGGATGTATGTATAACACATTCATATAAATTACTACTGAATTTTACTTTTAAACTGTAATAATTCCTTCCATATGCATCATCTACTTTTCAGTCATTTTTAAACAGGTAAGAGTATGAAGCAAGCCAAATCTAAAGTCAGCAGGCAGAAAAGTGAATTACTCTATAGAAACATATTAGAAAGATTTTTCTCTGTTATTAAACATGCTGGTGTTGCTAAAGACTAAAACTCATTTTAAAACCGAAGGATGAGGAACATATATAAATTCTGCTTAGTAAAGAATCAGTTTTAATTTTTATGAAATGTATAACTTGCAAATTCAGTCAGGACACAATATTTCTGAATAATTCTTCAGACATTTAAGAGGACACTAGAGACAAGAAACTGGTATTTATCTAGCAGCCAGCTTAGAGAGGAAGTAGTTGCCAACATTTTCTATACTTCCTTAATGTCAGGCTGTTGACTTTAGCTACACATTTGCAAGACAGGGTGTTAAGGTGTTTCTAAGTGTAGACAGTAAAGAACTAAAAATGCTTGATTACCAACCACAATTATGAACATTAGTTCTGAGTAGGTAGAGCTTGGGAAAATCAACATCTGCAAACTGAAAAGTCTAAACCACATTTCAAAAATGCACATGCCATATGTAGTCTGAATTTCTCATTAGCAAGTTAAAATTCCTACTTACAAAGTCATTTTAATCCACCTCCGTCTATTAACAGTTTGGCTTTAATTATTTCTATAGAAATCTTCCTTCTAAATAAATTTCCCAAAAGGTATTTTGGAGCTCTTGCCATGTCATTTTACTGAGGCTACACAGAAGAATTAAGACAGTCCCTGCCCTCATCCGTCCACCAGTGAGTAGGTGCCAGACACTTTGGATAAGGCATTAAATGAGCCAGACAAGAATCCCTTCCTTCTGGAACAAACGAGCATGTAAAAAGTGTAATTCCAGATGGCAGTGCTGTTAGAGAGGTATGAATATGTGACTGGGACTGTCGGACACAGCAACTGTCTGCCGTGAAGGGAAGTGCGAGAACTAAGGTGACATTTCAGCTGTTTACTGACTGGGAATTATGCCAGACTAGGACAAACACTCTGAACAAAGGCAGACTGCAGGAGGGCGTGGCTGCTCTGCTCCAGGGGAACAGTGAGTTTAGTGTGGCAGAAAGTAGGGTGCACAGGTTAAGCGATCAAGTTCGGATGGTGGAATGAGGCCAGAATGTGAGGCCTCTTGTATGCCAATCTTATTAGTGGTTTAGATTTTATCAGGACCAAAAGGATTTTAAGCTGGAAAATGACAGGGTTTATTTTTGTTTGTTGTTGTTGTTTAAGCTGTTACTGGTATCAGTGTGGAGGGACTGCAAGGGACAAGGGTATAAGGAGTCATTGATTTTGCACAATATTATACATGTAGTTCCAAGTCCAGCTAGTGAGATGGAGGAAGATTCTGTAGTTCCTGAAGAAAATTGCATCTTTAGTGTCAATTTAAATGTTAACAGATTTACTTTTAAGCATATCTTGTCAGATGACAAAAATTAGCATAGTCAGTTCATTTAGTATACAGATTAGGCAAGCCTTTTAGTGTTAACGTTTATAGAATAAAAAGTTCGTTAATCTTTAATTTCCACCCCTAATACCTAATAGGTGTTTTATATAAAGAAACTGATAAAGGGAACAAAAATTAAGACAGACTATTTAAATGTTTAGTTTTGACTTGAGAACTTTCTAATTCATGTATAAAATTCTATCTATATATGAGAATGCTAGAAAACATTACTGATAATTATCATTCTAGACAGAGAAACTGAAAGATTAACAATCTGGGTTATTCTTTCTATTGTGCAGGGTGGGGGGTGGGTGGGAGGAGTAGAGAGAGAGAGCCCACTCCATTCTGCCTCCCCATAACACACATTGTTCCAATAACTTCTAAGTTCCTTTGCTGTCATTGTGCTGGTGATCAGATCTCAATTTCTTGCTATCCTTTAGTAACCAGTTCTCTAAGCAGTGGCTTTCAGGCTTTGATGCATTACACATGTACCGTACATACATAAATAAAACCCAAACAGAAGTGAAAACAGTACTTCCATACAGGGTACTTTGCCCTTTCTTTCCATTTTTTAAAAGCTCATCATGACCCAGTCGTGAATATGTAGTGACTCAGTTTTAAGGACTGATTTCCACTGGGTTAATTCCCTAATTGTGGTACAACACATAACATAGGCTGGCTTTATAATTTGCAATTGTTTTTTTTTTTTTTTTGGTCTAGTTATATGCAAGACTACCCCAGAAATCTGTCTCTAATTACCCTACTTTAAATATCCTAGCAGTTATTTGCCTGGCAGTTAAAATTTCCAGCACTTTCTAATAGTGCTGAAAATTCTCATACCTGCTGAAGCTTATTAAAGGTACTAGGATCATCCTTTATGTGGAAAAATAAAAATACCTTTAAAACAGAATATGTATTTAGCAATTTAAACTATCTTTTTGTTTTATTTTAGTCAAATACTGGAGATAATGTCAGCAGTAAGAGATGAGGATCCAGTGGAATTAGCCAACACACTATATAACAATACCATTAAATTATTTTTTCCTGACATGTAATTAGTATGTCTTCCATTTTTCATCATGTATGTAAAACTTAGTGGAAGTTTCAATAAAGGAATTCTCTGGGAGTTGTCCATAAAGAGGTATTATATATCACTGCACGCCACCCCCCTTATTTGTATGCTTAAAGTTGGGATTTTTCTTAGCTTCAAAGAATGACCACCACCAAATGTTTCATTTTGTAATTTCTTTTAAAAGTCCAAAAGGATAATTTTTATGTCATTGCTGCAAACACAGAATGGCTAACAGATACACTGATTTTTACATCAAAATTAAACACATTCTGGCTCATGCCAGATACATGTTGATATAAGCCTGTTTCTCAGCTCACACAATCTCCAAATCTGGACTTTCAAACTCAGCTCAACTATAGTGCTACACTAAAATTTCAAAGTCTCAATCACTTCTGGCAACCTACTTTTTCCTTAGTTTATAAAATTACTTCATTTCCTTGATTTTGTGGCTTCCTCTGATTTGCATTTTCATTCTCCCACCCATCTTAAAGAAACACTAGGGGCCAGAGTTAGATGAATTATACACTTTCACTGAGGAATCTTTGGCACAGTTCGCGCACCATATTATCATTACATCTATTAAAAAGCTATTTGTTCAAATTTTGTCATAAAAATGTGAAAACATTTTATTCTATGTACAATAATGTACACAAATTTAAATAGGTCACCAAAGAGACCAGAAGTAATTAAAGAGGTATATTTACAGTAGCACATCACAGTAAACGGAAAACCATTCACAGATTAAACACTGATACTGTTTTTGTGCTTGGTTACACACTGATGTGAAGCATATTAACTCCATTTTGGATGAACTGAAATTTAACAACCTCAATGATTAGTAAATGCTATTTTAATCAGTCAGTGTCCTCATTAAGTTCTTCGGCTGCTGTATCTGTGTGCTGAATCACTCCATTTCTTTCTCTTTGAACATCATCGTCACAATCTGTACTGTCATCTTCATTCAATTCCCTGTCCGATTCAGCAGCAGCCTCTCTTACAACTTCCTCTGGATTTTCATTGGGTACAATAAATCCACTGCTGTTAGGTATATCTGAATTATTCTTGATATCTTCGGTGTATACTTTTTGATGGCACATTGGACAAGTATCTTGAATGTACAGCCATTTCCGAAGGCAAAGTGCATGAAAATAGTGATTACACCGTGTGACACGAGCAGATGATGCAAACTCTTGGTAGCAGATTGCACAGACATCACCTATTCCTCGTAAGTTGCTCCCTTTTACTTCAGGAAGTGAATTAATTTTCTTAACAGCAGTCCTACGATTCATAAATGTCTTCCAGCCATTTTTTGCTTGTAAGTAGATGTTAAAATATGCATGTAGACACATCATAAAAGCCCGAATTTTACTTCCAGATTCAAACATCATAGTATAAGCCCCATTTCCAAACATTACTACTCCAAATATAAATTCAATAATATTGCCTGTTGAACGAACATAGTAGACATAATCGTCAAGCTTTTCCCAGAGGACATTATAGTAGCCGTCAATCATGAAAAGCGTATAAACAGTGAGAGAAACAATTACTTTTAAGCAGAGTTCCACACAAAATGCTGTAACCGCAAACAACCATGTGTTTAGTTCATAACGATGCCAAAGAACACGACCAAGTGAAAAAGGAAGAATAAATAGGCAAGCAGAGACAAAGAGCACAGGAAAATGTCTACGAAAAGATGACACGTGAGAGGCACTGAGAGACATTAATACAGGGTCTGTCATTCCGTGGATGAAGTGCAGGACTGCAGTAAACAAAAGGCACATGTTTCTACTCAAGCGAATAAGTCTCTCTTCTGGCCTTAGCCCACTTAAACCAGTCTGAAGAGCCAAAATAAAAAATAAAACAGGTGCTACAAAGCCAAGCCGCCTGTCGTCGTCTTCTGTTGATCCAATAAAGGCCAATATTCCAAGGCCCAAATAATGGGCTACTGAGGAAATTACAGCACTCATGCCCAGGACAGTCAGTGTAGAGTCACATCCACTAATGATAAGATTGCTAATGAGGTCCCAGAAATCATCCCAAGAAATGAAGAAGGAATCAGTTTCATTTGCCATCCTTAAAATGTACATTAACACTGTAGCCTGAGCTGTAATTCTTGTTAGCCAAAATACTCTCAGTATATCTGGGAAACGAATCCTCTTCCATGTGTCCTCCATTAGTAACTGTAATCCATAAATTCGATACATGTGCCTTACTAAAAGATAAACATACCGTGTAGAATAATAAAACCACTTAAGTTTCATTGCCAAGACAAGCACTGTGTTTAATAGAAGAATCAAGAAAGAAGTAAGAACTAATCTCTCTCGGATGTGTAATGGTAGCTCTGTGATTAAGCCTATTACAGGAACCAAGAGATCCAAAATAATTAATTGTGAATAGATGGAATGAATTTGGAATAGTGTGACGTATCCAATTCCAAGTGTTAGCTGTAGAACAATGAGTGCCATCCATAGTGAGGGCCCTTTCCGAGGAAGCAGCTCAATTCCAAAAGCTGATGTGTTGTAGGCACCATAGAAGTCAATGTGCAAAGAAGCATAATAATTTACCAACACTGAAGTTGCAGCTAACAGAAAGGCTGCACTGTACGTGTAAAACTTGAAAAGTGATCGCTGTGACAATATCAGAACAATACTGGATAAAAATATACCTAAAAAAAAGAAAAAAAGAGGTCATTTGAATGGAACATTTTTAATAATGTTTACCCATTAAGAGTCAGTCTTCCTATAATTAGGAAATGTGAACATTTTCAAAATTATAAACATTAAGCCTCAAGACAAGGCTTAAAGGCCATAAAAGATGCTGTAAAAGTCAGTTCAACAAGACAGAAAAACATTATTTCTTAAAATCATATTAGAATTCTAGTTTCCAAAGTAATTCAAGTAGTGCCATATTCCCATTCACCAAATTATTACTAAATTATCTTCAAGATAAGTTTGGAGTGATACATACATTTTACCAAGTTTTAAAATCTTTAAAGAACATGCCAATAATTCCATTACAAAAACATTAGAATTAAAAATAACCAAAATGGTAAACATTTGTTCCTATTAAATCTTAGATTTTTTTTCTTAAAAATGTTCTCTAGAAAATCAAGTTTTAAGTTTTATACTTATACCTTATTCCTCCTTTTCCACAAACTGAACTCCTGCTGCCTCTTATTTTTCCCACTTCTTAAATTTGAGCATTCTCCCCTGGGTCCAAATTCAATTTTGCTTTTTTTTTCCTCCTCTACATTTTTCCTTGCACATTTCAGAAATGTTCTCCTAGTTCCCCTTTTCCTGTACATTATTCAGTCTTTGTCTTCAAATAGCCCTTTTTATTGTTCAAATCACAAAAGTAACATTCAGAAAACCAAAATATTTTAAAAGTGATAAATCCTCCCCCTCCCTAATCCAAACTTAACCAATGTGTGGTGTGATATGTATCTAGTACCATCTTTCTTTGTGCTCTGATAACTTTTTAAGTGAGATTACAATAAACATTATTATCCAAGGTTTCAACATGGGAACGACACCCAAATATCCATCTAGGACCACTACATTACAACGGCAAGACTCAATTTCTAAAACCTAACTCACCTCAAAAGGCTCTTCCTTGTGATTTCCAATTTCAGTTAAAGGTACCATTACTGTTTTCTTAATGGCACCTTCTAGTCCTGCACCCTCAAACTTGACAGTCACCAAATTCTAACACCTATTATCTCCCTTTTTTCAGTGATACCAACCTATTTATTAGTGTCTAAAAATTCACCTTGTCCAAATCTGTCTACAAGCCATCACCAATATGCCTTCCTTCATTTTTCTGAGCAAAATACTGCAGCAGCTCTGAAATCACTATAAACCAACATCTACATTTCTTGTCCTAGCAATCAAGGATCCATCGGCCTTACAGTAATACTCCTCTCAAGGCACACGCCAAAGCTCCAGACTTCTTCCCCAAGCACAACCCTTCTGTGCTTTCACTGCAGCTGTGTTTGATCCTTTTCTCTGCTTGGCCCCACCAACTGCCCAAGTCCCTGACTGTTCAAATCCTATCCATCTTACAAACTCACTTTCTCTGATAGTGACTGTTCTGTCAGCCTACCTGCAGAACCTGTGAATCACCTAATACTCATATACTACCTGCTAGTGTAGTTATCACTATGTCCTTGCTAGCAATCAAGAATCCTACCATGTACATCTATGGAACCCAAAATATTTTGTAAACAAATGCAGTTTCTATTCATTGGGGAACTAAATGTATTCTTGTTGAATTCTGGATTATGTTTTTAAAGACAACCACAAAATACAGCCCACATGGAAACTGAAATTTATAAACAGATTAAGACAAAGCTAAGAACCCAAATCTTTGGAGTACAGAAAAAGTGACAAACACCAAATTAAATATCCACCCATCCACCTTATTTCAGCATGTAATCAAAAAAGGTCATATTACCGTGGAGGCATTTCATAATCCATTACATGTAAAGAAGCTAGTTCCTCTAAAAAATGACTATGCCCATGAACTTAAAATTCATCCTGTGCCAATTTGGCAGGTCATCTGTGAAAAAGAGAATGAAGGACACAGGCACCTAGAAGAGACATAGATTTCTGCATGCAAACCATCTGGCTGATTTCCAGAGCAAGCTGGCCACTAATAATCTCCCAAAGAGCTGATAGCTGGGTGTAGGCCCTTTCAATAGAAAGTGAGCTTTTTTTTTTTTGAGCAGGATTAGAATATCTTATTTTTTCTACATAGGAAAACTATTTATTTTTCCGGCAACAGAACTTAATCTAAAATAAGTCAAAATAAAACCACAGTAACTTCAATTCTAGTTTATACTAATTAAAAGGGAGAAAGTCAAACAGGGACTATAAATTATTTTTATCAACTTGCCATTCACAAAGTGGCAAGATAATTTTTATTTGTGAATATTCATGAACTTTGTTGTAGTTTATACCAGTCCTTTTTAGTTTAATAGCTTTGCCCCCTCAAGCTTATTTTGACACATAAGTGAAGGAATGTATGATTGGGGTTTTAGAAATATGTCTGGAGAA